ACAGCAGCTAGGATTAAACCTTATGGGGTAGGAGACTGGAGGATTCCTCAGCAAAAAACCTGAAGTGCCCTTAAGAAAAGTTAGAAGAAATAGGAAGAGAAAAGGAGAGAAAAAATAATTAAAAAAAAATAGAAAACTTAGTGTGGTGACCCAACAGTGAACCTCACAGACTTCCCAGGACAGGAAGGTTAGTTGAGGACCCTAGGTGCTGGGCTTCAAAATCCATCACTACTTTTGTATCAGGTTTATACTTCCCAAGGGCTATGCTCTGCCTATGATCAAGTGCAATGGAGCAACTAAGGCAGACCCATTCCTGTGAAACATGGGAATCCATTGTTAGCTGACTTTGACTTAAAGTTTCCTGGTGGCTTTTTTCAAACATTTTTTATTTCAACGCGTTTTGGGGTATGAGGTTGTTTTCTTTTTTCTTCTTTGTCACATGGGTGAATTATACAGTGGTAAATTCTAAGATTTTAATGCACCCATCACCTGAGTAGTATAATTTGTCCCTAATGGGTATTTTTTTTAATCCCTTCCTTCTCTCCCAGCCATATCCTTCTGGGTCTCTAAAGTTCATTATATCACTTTGTATGCTATTGTATACTCTCAGTTTAGCTCCCACTTATAAGTTAGGACATACTGTTTTTGGTTTTTCACTCTTGTGTTACTTTGCATAGAATATTACCTTTCTATTTCATCCAAATTACTGCAAAATACATTATTTCAGTCCTTTTAATGGCTGAGTAGTATTCCATGGTGATATATTTCTTTATCTACTTGTTAGCTGATGGGCACTTAGGTTGATTCCACATCTTTGCAATTGTGAATTGAGCTGCATAAACATAAGTGTGCAAGTGTCTTTTTTGTGTAATTACTTCTTTTTCTTTGGGTAGATACCCAGTAATGTGATTACTGGGTCATTTTAGCTCTTTAAGGAAACTCCATACTGTTTTCCATAGAAGTTGTACTAATTTATATTCCCATCAGCAGTATATAAGCATTCCCTTTTCTCCACATTCATGCCAACATCTATTATTTTTTGACTTTTTAATAGCCATCCTTGCAGGAGTAAGGTAGTATCTTTGTAGTTTTAATTTACATTTCCCTGAGAATTAGTGATGTTGAGCATTTTTCCATGTTTGCTGGCCAATTGTGTATCTTCTTTTGAAAAATATCTATTCATGTCCTTTGCTCACTTTTTGATGGGATTGTTTTTTTCTTGTTGATTTGAGTTCCTTGTAGATTCTCAATTCTAGTCCTTTATCAGATGTGTGATTTGTAAATATTTTTTCCCATTCTGTGGGTTTTGTGTTTACTCTGATTATTATTGTTATAATTTTTTTGCTGTGTAGAAACTTTTTAGTTTAATTAGATCTCATTTATTTATTTTTGTTTGTATTGCATTTGCTTTTTGCATCTTAGTCATGGATTCTTTGCCTAGGCCAATGTCTATGAGAATTTTTCCAACCTTGTCTTCTAGAATTTTTATACTTTCAGGTCTTGCATTTAAGTCTCTGATCCATCTTGAGTTGATTTTTATATAAGATAAGAGATAGGGATCCAGTTTCATTCTTCTACATGTGGATTGCTAGTTTTCCCAGCATTTATTAAATATGGTGTCCATTCCCCAATTTATCTTTTTGTATGCTTTGTTGAAGATCAGTTGGCTGTAAGTATTTGACTTTTTTTCTGGGTTCTCTATTCTGTTCCATTAATCTGTGTGCCTGTTTTTTATACAAGTACCATGTTGTTTTGGTAACTATACTCTTGTAGTATAATTTGAAGTTCAGTAATATGATATCTCCAGAGTTATGCTTTTTGCCTAGGATTGCTTTGGCTCTTTGGGCTCTTTTTTGGTTTCATATGAATTTTAGGATTATTTTTCTAATTCTGCAAAAAATGATGTTGGTATTTTGATGAGAATTGTACTGAATCTATAAACTGCTTTGGGCATTATGGTCCTTTTCACAATGATTCTTCCAATTCATGGGCATGGGATGTGTTTCCATTTTTTTGTGTCATCAGTCATTTCTTTCAGCAGTGTTTTGTAGTTCTCCTTGTAAAGGTCTCTCACTTGCTAGGTTAAGTATATTTCTAGTTGTTTGTTTTGTTTTGTTTTGATTTTGCTGCTGTTGTAAAAGAGATTAAGTTCTTGATTTGATTCTCAGCTTGGTCATTGTTGTTGTGTAGCAGTGCTACTGATTTGTGTATATTGACTTTGTAACCTGAGACTTTACTCAATTTGTTTGTCAAATCTAGGAGTCTTTTGGGAGGAGTCTTTAGAATTTTCTAGGTATATGATCATGTCATCTGAAGATAGCAATAGTTTGGATTCCTCTTTTCCAATTTGGATGCCCTTTATTTCTTTCTCTTGCCTGAATGCTCTGGCTAGGACTTCCAGAATTATACTTAACAGGAGTGGTGCAAGAGGCATCCTTGTCTTGTTCCTGTTCTCAGGAGGAAATGCTTTCAACTTTTCTTCATTCAGTTTGATGTTAGCTGTGGGTTTGTCATGTATGGTTTTTATTTGAGGTAAGTCCCTTCAATGTCTAGTTTGTTTAGCGTTTTTATCACAAAGTGATGCTGGATTTTGTCCAGTGCTTTTCCTGCATTATTGAGATTATCATATGGTTTTTGTTTTTAATTCTGTTTATGTGATGTATCACATTTATTAACTTGCATGTTAAATCGTGCCTGCATCCCTGGAATGAAACCCACTTGATCAAGATAAATTATCTTTTTGATGTGCTGTTAGATTCAGTTAGTATTTGTTGAGGATTTTTGCATCTATGTTCATCAGGGAAATTGGTCTGTAGTTTTCTTTTTCTGTTGTATCCTTTCCAGGTGTTAGTATCAGGGTGATACTGGCTTCATGAAATGATTTAGGGAGGATTCCCTCTTTCTCGGTCTTTTGAAATGGTTTCAGTAGGATTGATACCAGTTCTTCTTTGAATGTCTGATAGAATTCAGCTGTGAATACATCTGGTCCTGACTGCTTTTGTTGTTGCTTTTGGCAACTTTTAAATTATTGATTCATTCTCATTGCTTGTTATTGATCTGTTCAGGGTTTCTATTTCTTCCTGAGTTAACCTAGGAGGGTTATATGTTTCCAAGAACTTACTCATTGCCTCTAGGTTTTCTAATTTGTGCTCATAAAGTTATTCATAGCAGTCTCAAATGACTTTTTTATTTTCGAGTTGGAGTCTTGTTCTGTCACCCTGGCTGGAGTGCAGTGACATAATCTCAGCTCACTGCAATCTCCACCTCCTGGTTGAAGTATTCTTGTGCCTCAGCCTTCCAAGTGGCTGGAATTATAGGTGCCTACCACCACACCTGGCTAATTTTTGTATTTTTAGTAAAGCCAGGGTTTCACCATATTGGCCAGGCTGGTCTTGAACTCCTGACCTCAAATGATCTGCCTGCCTCTGCCTCCTAAAGTGCTGGGATTACAAGTGTGAGCCACCATGCCAAGTTTGAATTATCTTGTGTTATTTCTGTGATAATGTTTCTAGTATCATTTCTAATTGAGCTTATTTGGAGCTTCTTTCTTCTTTTCTTGGTTAATCTAACTAATGTTCTATTTTGGTTATTTTTTCAAGAAGCCAGATTTTTGTATCATTGATCTTTTGTATCTTTTTGTTTGAATTTCATTTAGTTCTGCTCTGATATTATTTCTTTTTGTAGGTTTGGGTTTAGTTTATTGTTGCTTCCCTAACTCCTTGAAGTATGACATTAGGTTGTCAAGTTGTGCTCTTTTACCCTTTTTGTTATAGACATTTAGTGCTATAAACTTTCCTCTTAGCGGTACTTTTGCTGTATAATAGAGGTTTTGATAGCTTGTGTCATTATTATCATTCAATTCAAAGAATTTCTAAATTTTTTATCTTTATTTCATTGTTAACCCAGATTTCATTCAGAAGCAGATTATTTAAATTGCATGTATTTGTGTAGTTCTGAGGGTTTCTTTTGGAGTCGATTTCTAATTTTATTCCTTTGTTGTCTGAAAAGATACTTGATGTGCTTTCAATTTTAAAAAATATTGAGATTTGTTTTGTGGTCTATCATATGGTCTGTCTTGGAGAATGTTCCATGTGCTGATAAGAATGTATCTTCTGCAGTTGTTGGAAAGAATTTTCTGTAAATATCTGTTAAGTCCATTTGTTCTGGAGTGTAATTTTAAGTTCATTGTTTCTTTGTTGACTTCCTGTCTCAAAGATCTGTCTAATGCTGTCAGTGGCGTATTGAAGTCTTCTACTATTATTGTGTTGCTGTCTCATTTCTTAGCTCTAGCAATAATTTTTAAAATTTAAACATTTAAAAATGTTTTATAAATCCGGTAGCTCCAGTGTTAGGTGCATATAAATTTGGGATTGTAATATCTTCTTGTTGGATCAATCCATTTATCATTATATAGTGACAATCTTTGTCTTTTTTTAATATGTTATTTTTCTGAAGTCTGTTTTGTGTAGTATGAGAATAGCTACTGCTGCTCACTTTTGGTTTCTATTTGCATGAACTATCTTTGCATTCTTTTATGTTGAGTTTATACGAATCCTTCCATGTTAGGTGAGTCTCTTGAAGACAGCAGATATTTGGTTTGTGATTTTTTAAAATTCATTCTGTATTTTTTAAGCAAGTGTTTAGACCATTTACATTCAATATTAATATTAAGATATGAGGTACTGTTCTCTTCATCATATTAATTGTTACCTACATAGTTTTTTTTTCATTGTGTTATTGTTTTGTGGGTTCTGTGAGTTTTAGGATTTCAAGAAGTTCTATTTTGGTGCATTTTGGGCTTTTGTTTCAAGGTCTAGAACTCCTTTTAACATTTCTTATGGGACTGGTTTGGTCATGACAAATTCCCTCAGCATTTGTCTGAAAATGACTTTATTTCTCCTTCATTTATGAAACTTAGTTTTGCTGGATACAGAATTATTGGCTGATAGTTGTTCTGTTAAAGGAGATTGAAGATAGGACTCTAATCTTTTCTGGCTTGTAAAAACATGAAATTCTTCATGAATTTGTGTGTCATTCTTGCACAGGGGCTATGCTAATCTCTGAATCATTCTAATTTTAATATATGTGCTCCAGAAGTGAGCACTCTTGATGGCTTTGCCATACTTTTCCTAGACTGTATTACATCCTAGGAGGCTTCTGCTTTCAGCCAACCTTCTCTTTCTCTCCTTTACTAGGGCTCAGACTTGCATTACTGTCAGACTGCACTGCTGGCCTCCTTCTGCTTCCTCTCTTTCTTTTACATGGGCATGTCTGGTAACATGATTCTTGCACATGTAATCCCATCTTAGTGTCTGCTTCTCAGAAGACAACATGTAAAACTCAGAGTACAGATAGTGATATGAGAAAACAGGAGGTAAAGTTGGGGTTTGTAACTGGCTCACTCACTGTGTAGCAGAAAGAGGATCTGTTCTGAATGGTAGATGTGACAGCAATAGATCTTGGCCCAGACTGCACTGATGATGACCTTGGAAAATGTCTTGTTGGAGTGGAATAATGTGGAAGAAGCCATGATGCAGGCATTTGCTGCTAAGTTGTGAAACCAGAAAGCCTTAGTGGCAACCTCACAAGAGGCCCTCTATACCAGTGGTGAAAGTGTGGACAGGGTAAAACAACAGCCTAAAGACCTAATTGTGAGAGCTGCAGAGCTCCAGAGGCATCTGAATGCTCAGCTCAGGTAGGTCTGTTATGTGAAGGGCAGGACCCTGATAGGGATGACCAGGGATCCTGAAAACTCTGACAGGACATCTGGATAGATGCCCCTGAGGATCTGGATTCTACACGTCTACCTGGACCCTCTAGGCATGCAGAGGTGGCCCACCCTTTCCTAATAAGGGCTAGAAGAGTACCCACTGTGCTGGAAGATGCTGCAGAGGCCTCTTCCCAATAAAAGAACTGCTTTTGCAATTTGGGAGGCCAAGGTGGGTGGATCATGAGGTCAAGAGATCGAGACCATCCTGGTCAACATGGTGAAACCCCATCTCTACTAAAAACATAAAAAAATTAGCTGGGCATGGTGGCGCATGCCTGTAATCCCAGCTACTCGGGAAGCTGAGGCAGGAGAATTGCCTGAACCCAGGAAGCAGAGGTTGCGATGAGCTGAGATCGCGCCATTGCACTCCAGCCTGGGTAACAAGAGTGAAACTCCCATCTCAAAAAAAAAAAACAACTGCTTTCCCTCTCAGGAGCTGCACCCACCTCCTCCCCTGGCTGCCAAGCCAATTAAGAATGGTGCTGTTCAGCATCTCTAATTAAAGAAAAGCAAGAACAGAGGAGCAGGAGGCTGAGGACAGTCAGTCCAGCAAGAAGCATAATTCTTTACTCATTTCTCAGACCTGAACCAATTTCTAGAATCAGAAACTATTGACCAAAGAGGCAGCTAGATTCCTAAGAAAGGCCCTGCGATACTAGTCAAAGTTTATGTTATGACAGTATCCACAGTCCTCCCAAAAGGGACCTCTGGCCACTTAGGTGACTGTACACTGAGGAAAGTGAAATAACTAGATCTCTTAAGGATGACTGAACACAGAGTCTGAGTTGACATTGATTCTCAGAGTGGAAATCTATGACGAAAGTTCAAATCACAGTGGGCTCAATGTGCCCACAGACTCCCCTACCCCTGCAGTGATAATTATCTCCATCACCAAGTACATAATTGAAATAGATATACTTGACAGTTGAAAGTAACGTCCTTAGGGTCCTTAAGCTTTGAAGTAGAAGCTACCATGGTAGGGAAAAGACAAAATAACAACTTCTGAAACTGTTCCCTTCACCAGACCAAAATTGTAAATCAAAAATATGTCTTATCCCAGGGAAGACAGTAGGGATTAGTTCCATAATTAAAGACCTAAACAATGCAAATATAGTGGTACCTATCATTGCTCTCTTTAATTTGCCAGCCTAATGGCTACAGAAACTTGATGTCTCTTGGGGAAAAACTGTAGGCTTCTGCAGATGTAAACAATTAGTAGCCTCAGTCACAGCTACTTTGCCTGATGTGATGTCACTGTCAGAGCAGATTAATAAGGTTTCAGGTACAGGAGTATGCAGCTATTGATTTGGAGAATACATTCTTTTCATTTCAGTTAGAAAAGGGGATCAAAATTTGTGACTCTTTGTTTCAGCTAAAATAGGTATAGAGCTTGAAAGTTGTCAATCTTGTCATTACAACAAGAAAACAGTGAACAAATTGAAAATTAATGACTTTTCTTGGGTTCATTAGAAAATTGAATTTGCAGGGCAAACTCCTACCCTGAAATCCAGATAAACAGGCAAAAGTGGACAGTCACAACTGACATCTGCTTACATAAAATGAGAGCTGCTAGAACTGTAAACTGGTAGGTGTACCTCAGTGGTAATTTTGATTACTGGAAGGAAAATAGACAAATTTATTATGAAAGTTGGATACTTCAACATCCCATTGTCAGTGATTAATAAATCAAGCAGGCAGTTGACCTGAACAGTGCTATCAGTCAACTTGATCTAATTGACATTTATTGAATATTCCATCCAACAACACCAAAACACACATTCTCTCAAGCTCCAATGTAACATTCATCAAGACAGACCATATTCTGAGTTCCTTATTAGATTCTCAGATTCATGAGGACAGGTTCTGGGTTTGTAATTCTTAGTATGTTATCCCTAGCACAATACCTGGCACATAAGAGATGTTTGATAGGTAGTTTTTGAATAAATGAATAAATTGTAAAATTAGGCTACAAGACAAAGAATCTAGTCAGGTTGGGAATAGCAGCAAGATATAGTTAGTCACAAAGGAAGTACAGGTATATTAAAAATTTTTAAGTCTCAAAAGTTAGAATTTCAAATGCACACCTGAAAGTAACAGAAAACATCCTCTGTCATAGAGACTACCACTTGATTAATATTCCTAAGACCCTATTTTCATCATGTCATTTGTTTAATAACTTGGAATAGCTTCCAGTTCTTAGACTTCTGAGCCTAACATGTTAAGCTTTATTTATCCAGTCCTTCCATAGCTTTTCTACTTTGTCTTTTATTTATTGCTCAAATATTTTGTTTTAGCTCTGTGACTACCATTAAATAATCATTTCTGATTCAAGTCTATGACCAATATATAGCTTCTTTCACCTCACTTTTTCCATCTAAATTCTCATTTTAGAGACTCTGCAGCCCATGTTGATCAACTTCTTTTAAAAACTTCTGAAGTATTTATTGTCTGGGTTTTTCACATTTTGGCTTTTTATCAGATATTGCCCATAATTTTAACTGCTATTTTGAATTTACTTTTTTGGGATATGAATTTCTAAAGTTTTGAATCCCATCTAATTCTTGTCATATTTAATGCAAAAATAATTTGTGTTCTAGAAAGTTATTTGTAAGCTAACTTATTTTAGAACTTAGAATACATTTCCATTAAAACTATACTAAAAGGGTTGGATTCATTTTACATCTAGAAATGTATTTAACAAATTATGTAACTGATCTACATTACTATGGTAGCCTAAACTTGGAATTCTTGGAGCAAGTGTCCATGTAGCAGAATTTTGAACTACCTCCATCACCCCCTGATTATTCCTTCAAAAGCTCTTCATACTGAGCAGTTTATTTCATAATGTTTAATTTTCTATAAAATGACTTAAATTAGTCTCTTGTATATGTTTGCCTTTTATTGATTTTTCTTCTGGAGCAAGTTTGTATTTGGGGGGACTGCTTAATTCTAGGAAGGGACCTGGAAACCATTCATGATGCTAGTGTGTAATTAATTTTTGAAGAAGAATAATAACCTGCCTGAGAAATACCACCCAATTATGTTTTAACAGGGTTGTTGGTCAAATATATATAGTGGGGACGTGTCACTTCTCAGGGATATATTTGTTTTATCACTAGAATTATTTTGAGAGACTGGAACTTGTCCTGTTTCATCTAATTATTCTCTTAATATATTTTTAAAATTCTAAATAGAGAGAAGTAAGTAGCTGTGTTTCAGGAAGGTATGAGCTCTAAAATATCTTGCAGTTTTGTTTTGTGGAGATTTAAATTAGCTGCTTCCATTTTTCTTTGAATGATTCTTTTAATAAATCTAGTGACCTAGATCATGACCGATATAATTGAGAGAATTTGACTTGACGATTTTTTTCCCTTAATTTGCAAGAATGTGAGAACTGATTGGAGTTACTGAAAATGATCAAGTATCAGTTGAGGATTAAATTTTAAACCAAATGAGTGTATTATTCCTCTGACCTCTATCTAACCCTTTTCTTCTCTACTTTCCTACCAATGTTTTGGGGAACTTGATTATAAACTCAACAAATACTATAGCCTCACAATTCCTTGGACTGCTTAATTCCATTAATCCCCCATCTTCCGCTCCTTTTCAGCAACGCAGATACCGTGGCCAAACCCTGTACGTTAACATCTCCTTTGTAGAGGACACTTTGGTTTGGTTTGATCAGCATTCCCTCTGCCTTCTTCTAGAACAGAACTCCCTTCCTTCTGCACATTGTATTTTCTCCTTCTTTCAATCATATGTTTTATACCAAAAGAGTTTTCACTGCTTTATTTGTCCCCAGAGCTCATTAGTTTAGAGGTGTAGACCTTACATAGGCTGGCCAACCATAGTACCTCTTTTCTACTCTCCCCCATCACTGATCCAGAGCTGCGCACAGAGACGTAGTTCAGGAAACCAAGCCCGTTGGCTCTGGACCTATAGTTAGAAGGCCCTTTTATGCACAGTGTAGAGCCCAGAACATATTCCTAGGTAAAAATTGCTCTTTAAAGATGCTGTGTTAGACTATCCAGTATATATCAATCTTCATCCCTCCAGGCACCTTTTTCCTTTCACTTGGGGCAGGGAATCTTCAGGTTTTCATGATTGAAGGCTTGAGCCACAATTAAAAGCATATTTGAAGCATGGATTGAATTCCTAAGTATAGTTCAAGGCTGGTAGTACTTTTATTTATTTAGGTATTAGAACTAATCTTTGTGGCATATGTGAGGAGTCAAAAATTACCAGGACGGGGGCTAGTGGGAGACTAGATCCAGCAGTATATCAATATATTATGTACCTTTTCACACCCAGAAGGAGATGGAGGTGTTCGTCAC